TATCACCTCACACCTATTAGGATGGCTATTATGAAAAAAGAAAAAAGAAAAGTGTTGGTGATGTGGAGAATTTGGAACCCTTGTGCACTGTTGGCAAGACTGGAAAATGATACAACTACTGTGGAAAACAGCAGGGCGGCTCTAAAAATAGAACTATCAGCAATCCCATCGGGTATACATTGGAATTAAAAGCAGGGTCTCAAAGGGATATTTGCATACCCATGTTCATAGCCCCACTATTCCACCATAGCAATGTCCACTGACAAAAGAATGGATAAACAAAATGTGAAATATACATACAATGGAATATTCCTCAGCTTTAAAAAGGAAGGAGATTCTGCAATTATATAGGCAGTAGGGGAAAAAAGGAGATCTCGATATATGCTACAATATGGATAAGCATTAAGAAAGTCATGCTAAGTGAAATTAGCCAGTCACAGAAAAATACTGTATGATTCCACTTATATGAGGTATCTAAAGTAGTCAAATTCATAAAACAGAAAGTAGAATGGTGGTTCCCAGGGGTTAGGTGAAGGCAGAAAGGGAGAGTTCCTATTTAATGGGTATAGAGTTTCAGATTTACACAACAAAAAAGTTCTAGAAATCTGTATCACAATAATGTGAATATACGTTACACTATAGAACTATACAATTTAAAATGGTTAAGATGGTCAATTTTATGTTATGTGTGTTTTACCACAGTAAAGAAAAAAGAGAGAAACAATATGTTCAACATCATCTGTCATTAGAGAAATGCAAATTAAAATCATGAGATACCAATTGGGCATGGTGGCTCATGCCTATAATCCCAGCACTTTGGGAGGCTGAGGCGGGAGGACTGCTTGAGCCCAGAGTTAGAGACCAGCCCAGGCAACATAGTGAGACTTCACCTCTACAAAATAATTTTTTTTAAACAGCCAGGTGTGGTGGCATGTGCCTATAGTCCCAGCTACTTAGGAGACTGAGGTGGAAGGATGTCCTGAGCCCAGGAGGTAGAGGCTGCAGTGAGCTGTGATCATGCATGCCACTTCACTCCAGCCTGGGTGACAGAGTGAGACCCCAACTTAAAAAAAAAACCATGAGATATCACTAAGAAATTATCACAAATCAGAAACTAAGGAGACATAGTCCACAGTGAAAAGGAACCTAAAATGTTGGAGACGTAAAGACTTTAAAGACTTCAAGGTAGTCTTTAAAAAGCTTTTCAATTTATATTAAACAATAAAGTTACACTTCCAATTGTCACTAGTTATTATAGTGAGAACATCTCACACTTTAATATTTTGTTACAGTTGATAATTTGCAAAAACAAAAAAAATAGAATAAGACTTCAGAATTTCAGTATGGCTCTTTATACTAACATTAAAGTACTGTATTTGCTGCTAAAATACTACAAGTTAGAGAAATTATGTTGTTAATTTAGTATCTATTCAATATGAAATAATAAAGCATAATGAAGAGCATATGCTTGCTTGGTGCTAATAACATAACATTTTGCAGCCCTATAGATGAATCAACACATATAATTTGAACCAGATGTTGAAACAGTTTAGGATTAGTATCTAAGGACACATATTTCTGAAAATATGTAGAAAAGTACTATATATTTGCTACAGAGACTGCTATCCAAGTGTCTTTTTTTTTAGTTTGTGTCATACTGGGCTCAGGTGATCCTTCCACCTCAGCTTCCCAAGTAGCTGGGACTATAGGCATGTGCCACTATACTCAGCATTTTTTTTTTTTTTAAGCCGAGATCTCACTGTTGCCTAGGCTGCCTACAGATTTTTTGGCTTGATCGCCTCCTGCCTTGGTTTCCCAAAGTCCTGGGATTACAGGCGTGAGCCACTGCACCAAGCTGCAGGGGTCTTTACATTGCACTCTTCTTGATTTCTCAAAATGAAATTACAATCTGTTCTCTTGTTTTCTGAGTTGGAGTTTCACTCTGTTGCCCAGGCTAGAGTGCAGTGGCATGCTCATGACCATCGCAGCCTCGACCTGCTGGGCTCAGGCGATCCTTCCACATCAGCCTTCCAAGTAGCTGGAACTACAGGCATGCGCTACTACACCCAGCTAATTTTTTATTTATTGTAGAGACGAGGTCTCGCCAAGTTGCCCAGGCTGGTCTCAAATCCACGGGCTCAGGCAATCCACTTGCCTCGGCCTCCCAAAGTGCTGAGATTACACACTGAGTCACCGAGCCTGGTCTATAATCTGTTCTTAATAATATTTATATTTTTTTAATTCCACATGAGTAGCAGTTCAACATAGTAGTTAAGAGCTCAGGTTTCAGAGACAGATTTTTGACTTGATCGCCTACTGGCTATGGGATCTTGGGAAACAAACTCTCTGAGCCTCAGAGTACTCATTTCTAAAATGAGAATGGTAACAGTTAAACCCATCTTACAGGATTATCATGTGTTCAGATTAACCCTTTGCATTCAGATGTCCCCACCAAGGGAACACAGAGATTACTGATGATTATTTTACAAGACAACCTTACACAAGTGTAAATTTTTCAAAAATGTGTTTCCTTAAAGTTTTCCATTCAAATAAAGAGATAGAATATATACTGAGATATACATAAAAAAATATCAGCTGGTATCACAGAAAGAGAATGTGTGAAGTACTTTCACAGTGATGCTGACACCTCTTTATAACAGAAGATAGTGATAAAGAGTGTTTGTATAAGAAAGGCAGCTGTGGGTATACCCTTTGAATCATACCACATAACTTGAAAAGATAGATAAGCAAGTTACTGTAGCCTTACAAGAAAGCAACTTTCGAAGTTGAGGGCAGATCATATTGAAGTATCAAGTAGCACAGATCGAAGATATCTATCTGCACTATATCAAAAAAATAAAATTGGAAAAGTAATATTCCTTTGACAAATTTCACATGATTTTGTAATTTAAAATTAGAAATTTTGTATCCATTAATTTGGTTTGCAGAATAATGGGAAAATGGAAAGACAAAAGTGAGTTATAATATAAGCAGCAGTGACGATGAGTCAGATTTAGACTTTTATACCAATAAGTTAGAAAAAATAAACATTGATGTGGAAGAAAATGATAGCGACAATGATATCCCACCAGGAAGAAGATGGGCAAATGTAATTGAAAGTGATAGTGATGAAAGTGCTAGTCATTTTGAAGGAGAAAACTACATATGTCAAGTGAAGAACAGGAAGATGTTACAGAAAAAAAAAACCAATCCTCTAGCAAGGATACATTGTATTCATCCTCAAACAACAGGACCACAAATTACAAGTGATATAAGAGAATTGACTGACTGTTTTACTATGTATTTTACAAGTGAATTAGTGTATAGTGTAATAAAAGAAATAGTTATGAGGATTAAAAAAATAAGGAAAAAGCAGCTCATCACACAAATAGATTTGGCATAAATGGCATGACGTTGATCGACAGGAATTTTTAGATTTTATTGCAGTTATCTTAATGTGAGAGGAAGAATACGAGACTGCATTGTCTGCTTGAAAAGAAAAACACCAAATGGAAGACATCAAACAAATTATTGCGCATTTATCAATAAACCTGCAATGCATATAGGTCACACATTACTACACGCTAGAAAAACATATCAATTTTTGATTTTTTGTCATAAACAAGTTCCTCAATGTCCAAAATTCCATTATAAGTCAAATATCTTTACAATAAAATAATTGGCTTCAATGGTCTACTGTTTAATATGAAGTGATTCATTTTTCACTCTTTTATAAAAAAAGTTTGGTCAAGTTGCTGGTAGGTGATCTGCAGATGTCTGAGTGCAGAGTTAAGATAATGCTTATAAAGTGCTTTCCATGGCACCTGCCACATAGTAAGTACTGAATAAAAAATAGTAAGTGTTATTGTTGCTATTATTACTACTATTTTTCATTTTTACAGCTAATAAAATAAACGTCCTTCAAATCTAAGAATAAAACCGTTTTAGAGGAAGTGAGCATGAGTAGCAATGGCAAGAGGTTGTTGTCAGAGAACAGAATATTGGATTTCAGAGATAGTATAGATGATATCTAGGCTGTGGTCATGGGCACTGGTGGCTAAGATAGTGTAAAGGTAAAGGTCACTGTGTGGAGTTGAGGTTAAGGAATTGTGAAGAGGCTATGGCTGGTCACCCTTGTGATGGTTAATGATCTCTCAGCATGAGGACAGGAAACGAGGTGGGAAGACTCAATTGCCAAGACCTCATGAAGGCAGGAGAATAACTGGGAAAATGGTACCAGCCCTGCCCTGGGCCTTCTCAGGACTCCTTCTCCTCTTTTTCTCAGTACTTGCTAGTTCACATCCAACCTACTTTCCTTGCAAATAAGGAAAATCAGAAAAAAAAAAGCCAAAAAACTGCCCAACTATTTCCCAGCAGTACCTCACAAATCTGCCTTGGGACCTACTAACTACAACTTATTGCAGATAATACCAGGTTAACACACTTCCTGTCTCAGCACCTTGTAATACAGGTGAACAGATAGAAACAGGAATACAAACATGTGGATATTGATATAAAATAATCTCTCTACATACAACTCGTCTGCAAATAGCAAAAGTAAAATAAAAGATACCCAACATATAACTTTATTTAGCCCAGTATCATTTCTTAATCTAGAATATTTCCCTCCCATGTACCCATACACAGAAGCAGTACTCTTAGCTAGCTGCCTGACTAGATGGTAGCCCCCTTGGGTTATTTATTGAGACCCTATTTTCATTAAAATCTGAGCTATCCTACTCCCTCATTTACAATCTGGCTTTTCTTTCATCAAGTATAAATTCTGACATGGGATGGCTCACCTATAGCTTTAATGTATGAAGTAAAGAAAGCTTTATGCAGATTTTGGCTTTTAATGAATCTCCTCTGACAGTAGAAAGATTTAAACCACAGCCAATTCTAAGAACCACTCTAAGAACAGAGACAAGAGTTACTTAAAAGGATATGACTTGCTGTAACTAAATGTAATTCATACCACTTTTCTCAATGACACACCATGATACTTTTCAAAAAATCTTTAAACATTTTATTAACTTTGAAGAAGGAATAAAAACAGCCACTTTAGAAACTAGAGACACTCAAGCACTGATCTATTCAGAAAGTTTCTACACAGCTGAAGAAGTTACATCAAATGGACAAAAAATCGTACAGAAAGCCTATATACAGAAAGACTTAGAAAAATCTATCTCCTAGAAAGCAGGTCAAATGGACTCAGTTAAAGACCTCTCTCAATGTAGGAGAATTAATGGAAAGCAACGTAAAACCTTCTGCTGGGACATAAATAGGAACCAGTCCATATAATCAAGAAGTTACTTTTCCTTCTGATCTAAATGCTTGCCTCCAGTTTGGGCTCAGAGAAAAGTCTTGGTCATTTGAACTGGTTGTCAATCAAGGTCCCCTTCATTTTTGCTTTCTTGGCTTCCAGTTCAGCCTGGAAAGGAAAAAAAAAGTATATGTCTTGATCTATGACATGAAACTCCTATTTACCTTCCTTATCCTAATCACCCAAAATGCTTTAAAGCTTTTAGTATCCAAACTAGAATCGTGGTTCTAAAATCATTATGCAACTCTAAACAACAGCATTCTAATCTTTCTGATGTTATAGCACACAAAGAAAATGCTATTTGTAGGCGAAACAGACAAGGCTGCAGTCAAAGGAAATCAGTGCAAGGATTCCAGTAGTCCCCAGAAGCCCCCAAGAGCGGAAGGAATCAATATTGTGGCAAACCAGTAACCTATTCTTGACAGAACAAGCAGAACACTATTTTAGAACAAAGCTACTTAAAGTTGTGTGGTCCATGAACTGTTTATTATTGGTCCATGCAAGATATGTACAAAAATTGATAGTAACCATTTAGAAACTTATATTGCAATTTGACAGAGTAATAATAAAAGAATCTAATAAAAATGGAGGCCAATTCATTTTTATTGTATTTTACAAGTTACAAATCTGGTCATGACAAATTGAACTTTTTCTTTTTTTTTTTTTTTCTTTTTGAGTTGGAGTCTCACTCTGTCGCCCAGACTGGAGTGCAGTGGCCGCTCCCGGCCACCGCAGCCTCGACCTGCTGGGCTCTGGTGATCCTTCTGCCTCAGCCTGCCAAGTAGCTGGAACTACAGGTGCGCGCTACCACGCCTGGCTAATTTTTTATTTATTGTAGAGACAAGGTCTCATCAAGTTGCCCACATGGGTCTCAAACCCGGGGGCTCAAGCAATCCACTCACCTCGGCCTCCCAAAGTGCTGGGATTATAGGCTGAGCCAAATTGGACATTTTAAAAAAATAAAGTACTGGCCTTTCACCTTAGAAAGTTTCAGGCTGCTCTAAACCACTATGGCAAGGTAAAGCAGCTCCCAGGACCCACCACCTCTGTCACCAAAATCCACTAGTCATTAGAAAAGACTGGTATACCTTTTGATGAAGTACTAATGCAATAATGTCTGAGTTTAATGAAATATAAGTAAATTATTATCAAAAAATGTAAGCACCATCCTATATAGATATGCAGACCTCATGAATAATGCAGAAAACTAGCAGTGCTTTATGAAGCAATGACCAGCCCTAATCCTAATACAGCCCAAGGTAGCTCCCATATATCCCATTATATTCTAGGACAGCGTCCAGAAATCTTGACCTTTTAATTCCTGACCTTGAACCACAAGTAATAGATTAAAATATCATCCTAATTAGGACTATCTAACAAGTATCAAGATTTAGGGCCTAGATCCTGTGGTCACGACTACAGAGCAGGGTATATCAACAGTCACAGACCAGGGATAGAAAGCTAGCACCCAACCTCTCTAGTGACTCCAAACAGACTTCCTAAAGGATTTCCCTGCCAGCTGGAGGTCTTTCAGACCAAGAAATCCAAATAATCGGCCCAGCACCTTGCTACCCCCACCACTCACCAGCTCTTGCAGTCGCCTCTTGCTCATGCCTTTGCGCTCCAGCTGTTTTTCAATAACCTTGGCATTCTGTGCATATGAGTCAGCAACTTCTCTCTGAAGGAACAAAGAAGTGTCCTTAAACCAGTAGTCTCACCAAAGAGTAACAACAGAGACCATATGTAGAAACTAATACTACTCAAATTCATGAAATCATGTCTGAAATAAAAGGACTGTTTTCTTTTTAAAATTTATTTTTATTGTTTTCAGAGACAGGGTCATGCTCTGTCTTCCAGGCTGGACACCATCATAGCTCACTGTAGCCTCAAACTTCTGGGCTCAAGAGATCTTCCTGCCTCAGCCTCCCAAGTAGCTGGGACTGCAGGCACAAACCACCACGTCCGGCTAACTTTTTAAATTTTTTGTAGAGACAGGGTCTCATTATGTTGCCCACGCTGGTCTCGAACTCCTGGCCTCAAGCGATTCTCCTGCCTCAGCTTCCCATAGCTGGGACTGCAAGTGTGAGTCACCACTCCTGGCTAATTTTTCTATTTTTGTAGAGATGGGGTCTCGCTATGTTGCTCAGGCTTGCTACCTTTCAACTCTTCATCCTTTCAATACTCCAGGAGCGTTTAGGTTTCAACTGAAACCATTTGTAAAATAACAGATAGCATCTCTCTATAAACATCATTATACTGAAGGATCATAAAGGTAATTGCTGCTACTGCTAGGGACAGACTCACAAACCATCAGAGCTGGACTGCAAGAGACCTGAAATAATTCAGTCCAATTGTCCAATAGCTTTTCTTTTCGTTTTCTTTTTTTTTTTGAGTTGGAGTCTCACTCTGTCCCCCAGATTGGAGTGCAGTAGCACGCTCCCGGCCACCGCAGCCTCGACCTGCTGGGCTCCAGCGATCCTCCCACCTCAGCCTTTCAAGTAGCTGGAACTATTGGCGCGCGCTACCACGCCCGGCTAATTTTTTGATTTATTGTAGAGATGAGGTCTCGCCAAGTTGCCCAGGAGGGTCAGCTTTTCTTTTCTTTTCAAGTTGGAGTCTCACTCTGTTGCCCAGGCTGGAGTGCAGAGGCACGTTCACAGCCACTGCAGCCTCGACCTGCTGGGCTCAGGCGATCCTTTTGCCTCAGCCTTTCAAGTAGCTGGAGCTACAGGCATACATCACCATGCCAGCTAATTTCTTGATTTTTTTTTTGTAGAGATGAGGTCTTGCCAAGTTGCCCAGGCTGGTATCAAACTCCTGGGCTCAGGCAATCCTCTGGCCTCTGCCTCCCAAAGTGCTGGGATTACAGCCGTGAGCTACCGCACCCGGCCCCCAGTAGTTTTTCAAATGAAGAGGGATAAGGGCTTTGCCCTCTAAGGCATCTCAAAAACAGTACAGAAAAAAAAAATCACTGATCTCATTCAACTCTCTGATTTTCGTCTTACAGATGTCCCTGAGATTCTGGGAACCAGGAACTAGGCCAGTATCACAGAGTTTCTTACCAGGACAGCTGAGGCTAAAAGCACACCTTCATTCATCTTTCTACTACTTGGAGGCTCTAGCTCTAGAGTCCCCTTTCCTCCCCCTCCCCCCACCCCAAATTCCAGTTCCCTTGAGAGCAGAGGCACTTACAGCCTCAATTTCCTCCTCCTCTTCATCAATGGTAGACACAGTAACAGAACTGAACTTGCCCATGTCTTTAGTCCGTTTGGTCATCATCACCTGGAGTGGCAGGAAGAGGCGTCAGTTCAGTTCACCACAAGAGAATCCATGAGCCGTGAGTGTGTCCATGTGCACACGCCTGTGTTGGAGGAAACACTACCTCTTTGGGACAGGGTGACCTATCTAAAAGCACCAATGTTTTTGCTTACATCACATTTTTCTATCATTTTCCATCAAGTTTTTTTTTTTTTTTTTTTTTTTTTGAGACAGGGTCTTCCTCTGTCACCTAGGCTGGAGTAGAGCGGTTTGATCAGAGCTCTCTGTAACCTTGAACTCCTGGGTTCAAGCAATCCTCCCTTCTCAGACTCCCCAAGTTGCTGTGATTACAGGTGCATGCCACCATGCCCAGCTAATTTTTCTATTTTTGTAGAAAAAAGGTCTCACAAAAAAAAAAAAATAGGAGGAAGGAAGGAAGAAAAAAAAGAAGAATCCTTAATACTTAATGTTGCTCAGACTGGTCTTGAACTCCTGGCCTCAAGTGATCCTCCTGTCTCGGCCACCCAAAGTGCTGGGATTATAGGCATGAGCCACTACACTGCGCCTGTGAAGGGTCCTCTTTTTTCTTTCCTTAGAGACAGAGTATCACTCTGCTGCACAGGCTGGAGTATAGTGGTACAATCATAGCTCACTGCAACCTTAAACTCCTGGGCTCAAATGATCCTCCTGTCTCAGCCTTCCAAGTAGCTGGGATTACAGGCATGCCTCACACCTGACTTTTTTTTTTTTAGAGGCGAGATCTCACCATGTTGCCCAGGCTGGTCTCAAGTGATCCTACTGCTTCAGCCTCCCAAAGGGAGGAGATGCCACCACATCTGACCCATCAAGGGTATTTAAAATATATTTTTAAATTAGCTTAATTCATTCTGTTTTTAATTGTTTAAAAAATGTGCAAAATAACAGATAACATCTCTCTGTAAAAGAACATTTTGAAGGAAATAAATGAATAAAAACCATATAATTTCTAACCTTACTCACGAGGCAACTGTAGGAAAGAAAAAAGAACACATAATAGATGTTATAATTCTGTAGCGTCTGCTTATACACAAAAATGGCACAGTCTTAATAAAGAATGCATCCATAATGAGCAATTTCTCATGCACTATAATCCTCTTTAAAAATTTGGGCTAGATCTGTAGCTATATTAAGCAGTCTGTCTCCTTCAATGATAATTACCTTCTTAGGAGGCTCTTGTTTCTGAGTATATATGTTCGTTTTCCCAAAGCCCTGGCCAAACTTGACTACTGCTCCATCCACAATGAAGGTCACGGGAGCATTCTTCGGCTGGGACTGGTAGAAGAGTGGCAGTCCACACCTGCAATGGCACAGTGAATCTCTGGGAGAACTCAGAATCCAAATTACCAAAACAGTGATTCACAAAGTGAGCTTAAACTCTGGAAATAGTTTTGTTTGTGGCATAAAGCTCTTCCCAGTGTTTCCTAAAACTACTGGATAAGAATCACTTAAGTGCTTGTTAAAATTGCTGATCAGATTTCTAGGTCCTTCCCCAAAAGATCTCGATTCAGCAAATGAGGGTGAGGCCTGCGAATCTGTCATTTTAATCAGCATCCCAAGTGATTCTTATCATAAGACACGTTTGGGAACAGCTGACTTATGCTACTTACTGATCACTTTTCAGTCAAAACTGCTGCCATTCTTCCCAGGCATCTGGGTAACTAGTTTGGGCATTTCGTCTGGCTTTTTTGTTTTGTCTTTGCAGTGTCAAGAGGAAGCATAAAGATTCCATTGCAGTAGTTGGCAAACTAATTTCTGGAGTAATTACCACTTTCTTTGGTTGGCCACTACTATGCTTTTTCAGCTAAATAAAGTAGACCTATATAAGGCATGATAAAACCAAATTAATAAATCCACTGTGGCTTGGAGCTAAAATGCCTTTTGTGGGGGGGGGGGGAGTCTCACTCTGTTGCCCAGACTGGAGTGCAGTGGTATGATCCCAGCTCACCACAGCCTCCACCTCCTGGGCTCAGGTGATCCTTTCATCTCAGCCTCCTGAGTAGCTGGGACTACAGGCATGTGCTACCACGTCCAGTCGATTTTTTTTTTTGTAAAGATGAGATCACACTAAGTTGTCCAGGCTGTTCTTGAATTCCTAGCTCAAGCAATCCTCCCATCGCAGTCTCCCAAAGTGCTAGGATTACAGGCATGAACCACCACACTCGATCTAAAATGCCTTCTTATCTATTTTCCTCTGCTTTAATTCTCCTAGTCTGAGTCCTCTGAGAGCCAAAATGTGACTGTAGTTACATCAAAACTGAACTTACTATAGTTTAATATTCTCACTATTAACAGCCTAAAGCTGGAATTTTTTTTTTTTTTTCTCTAAATAATGCTCTTTAAACTAAGGTTCTATTGTAAGTCTATGGTCCTGTAATAAACTTTATAAATAGGTCTGGATTAAATTACACCGTTACATTTACCACATGACCCAGCAGTCCCGTTCCAAGAGAAAACACGTCTCCATCAAGATTTATACTAGACATGTTCATAGAAACTATACTGGCAATAGCCCAAACCAGAAACAACTCAAAACACCCTTCCATGGGTGAATGGGTAAACAAAATGTGGTGCAATGAAATACTACTCAGCAATAAAGAGGAACGTATAACTGATACACATAACAGCTTGGATGAATCCCAAAAAATTAAGTGAAATAAACCAGGTGCAACAGGTACATATTGTACTCAGTAGAACACATATTGTAGAATTTACATTAATTTTTAGGAAAGGCAAAACCATATAGTGAAAGAAAGCACATCAGTGCCTACCGGGGAGATGGGTAGAGAAGAGGATTAACTACAAAAGGAACATGGGGTGCTGGAATGTTTTAGATCAGGATGGTGGTGGTGTTACATGACTAAATACTTTTGTCAAAACTCATCAAATTGTACACTTAAAATGGGCAAATTTTGTTATATATAAACTACATCTCAATTTTTAAAAAATTATACTCTTAAAAACTCATTTTTGAGGGAGCATACTGGTATTTGTGTTAGCTGAAGTCTGAAGGCAATTGAGATGATAAAGATAAAGACATAACAGCGAATTGTATCCAAATAATTATTTTCCTCATACAGTATGCTTCTATTTGCCTATGCTTAGAGAAACCCACAATGTTAATACTTACTTTGCACACTTCTTCCTGTATTGCCGCTCAATGCCTTCAGGCCTACACAAAAAATGGAAATTAAAAAGTAAAACAATATGAACAAATCTCATAACCTATTAACCTCACCATCCCATTTCTTCAGAGGGCCTTTCAAAAGTTTTCATTTCATAGATCAACTTATTAAACATTTCCTCCTTCCTTCAACAGACATCTACTGAGCCCCTGACATGGGTCAGGTATCTCCCTGACAGAGGGAAGAGGAGGAGGAGCAGTAAAGTAGTCCTAGTCCTAGTAGCAACAGCAGTTATAATAATAACAACAATAATAGCAGCAATGACTTACAGTACTTTCACTATGAGCCAGGAGCTATTCTAAATTATACATGTATTAACTCATTTAATCCTTACAACAACCCTGTAAGGTAGGACACATTATTATTCCTACTTTACAGATGAGGGAACCTAAGCACAAAGCATCACATGAGTTGCCCAAGGTCACAGAGCTAGGAAGCAGAGGAGGTTAAATCCAAGCCCAGGCAGTCAAGCTCAAGAGCCCACACAATATTGGCCTTAGATAACCAAGGATTAAATCCTGCCCATGTAATTGCTTAACACAAACCTCTCATCCTCAATTTTTCTCTTTCTCTCATCACCCACACTTTATCAGCAAATCCTATGGATTTTATCTCCAAAAAAAAAGATCTTAAACTTGTCTGCTCTTTTCTACCTTCCTGTCTCCATCTTGGCCTACACCACCATTATCAACTCCCTGGACTACTGTAACAACTTCTGACTGACCTCCTCACTTCCCCTTCCCTTGTTTAACTTTTTTTTTTTGAGTTGACTTGCTGGGCTCAGGCGATCCTTTCACCTCAGCCTTTCAAGTAGCTGGAACTACAAGCGCGTGCTACCATGCCCGGCTTATTTTTTGATTTATGGTAGAGACGATGTCTCACCACGTTGCCCAGGCTGGTCTCAAACCCCTGGACTCAGAAAATTATCTCGCCTTGGCCTCCCAAAGTGCTGGGATTACAGGTTTGAACCACCATACCTGACCTTCTTTAACTTTTTAACAGGCATTTTATATTTTAAGAATATAAGCCGGGCTCGGTGGCTCAGCCTGTAATCCTGCGCCTTGGGAGGCTGAGGTGAGTGGATTGCCTGAGCCCGCGGGTTCCAGACCCGCCTGGGCAGCGAGACCTGATCTCTACAATAAATAAAAAAATCAGCCGGGTGTGATAGCACACACCTGTAGTTTCGGCTACTTGGAAGGCTGAGGCGGAAGGATCGCCAGAGCCCAGCAGGTCGAGGCTGCGGTGGCCGGGAGTGGCCACTGCACTCCAGTCTGGGCGACAGAGTGAGACTCCAACTCAAAAAAAAAAAAAAAAAAAAAAAGAATATAAAATGAAAAGTAAATATCCTCCACTCACCCAGTTTCCTTTCCCAGAGGCAAATATTATTTGTGTTCACTTAGAAATACATCTTGGTTGGCCAGGCATGGTGGCTCAGGCTCATAATCCCAGCATTTTGGGAGGCTGAGGTGGGAGAATTGCTTGAGCCCAGGAGTTTGAGACCAGCCTGTGCAACATAGTAAAGCCTCATCTCTACAAAAAATTAGCTGGGCATGGTGGCATGTGTCTTTAGTCCCAGGTACTTGGGATGGTAAAGTGGAAGGATAACCTGAACCCAGGAAGTGGAGGCTGCCATGAGCTGTGATCATGCCACTGCACTCCAGCCTGGGCAAAAGGGTGAGACCCTGACTCAAAAAAAATTATACATACACATACACACACACACACACACACACACATACACACACACTCCACCATTATATATACACCACCACATGCTGCTAGTTTATGTGGTGGTGGTAGTGGTGGTGTGTGTGTGTGTGTGTGTGTGTGTGTGTGTGTGTGTGTGTGTCCACATAACTATATATACATACCACCACATAAGCTAACAGCAAACTTAATGGTGAAAGACTAAAAGCTTTTTCCCTAACATCAGGAACAAGATAAGGGTGCCACTCTCACTACTTTTATTCACCATGAGGAATAAATTTAACAAAAGAAGTATAAGAATTGTACACTGAAAACAAATAAACAAGACCTAAATAAATATAAAGACACTTCATGCTCATGGTCTAGATGGTTTACTATTGTTAAGACGGCAACATTCCTCAATTAATTTACAGATTCAACACAAACCTTACCAAAATCCTAGCTGATTGTTTTGCAGAAATTTAAGCTGATCCGAAAATTAGGAATTCCTAAAATAAGGAATTACAAGAAATCCAGTATAGCCAAAACAATTTTTTTTTTTTTTGAGTTGGAGTCTCACTCTGTCGCCCAGACTGAAGTGCAGTGGCCACTCCCTGCCACTGCAGCCTCAACCT